TTAGCCAATAAGTAGGTTTTAACTTGCTTAAAGAAGGAAAACAAAGGTAGATTTTTAGTTATATCTGGAAGATCCTTCCATAAATCAATTGCTCCAAAAGAAATTGCCTGTTTACCAGTATTAGTTCGAACATATGGTTTATACATATTTAAATTAGATGAGTATCTGGTATTATAACTGTGAACATCTCTTGAATATTGGAAGAAATTATCAAAAATGTGTGGCAACAAACCAGGCTCATCCAGGGCATTTTTTAAGGAATAAGAGACCGTTCATTATTTATGACCGGGGGTGGGCTGGCAAAATTCAATTAACAACTAAACAAAATGTCCTGCCCCCTGGATCACAAAAATATTCAATGACCCCCTTCACATGAATTCTAAAAAAATAGTACCACCACCACCATTGTATACATAGACATATGACCAGGCATCAGATCTATTCTACATTTACTTATGCTTTCAACATTGGCAACGAAAATTTTTATTGGCTATTTCAATCCTACTTGACAACCTAACTATGAAAATATTATCATTTCCTTCTCGAACATTTTACTCTAGGAGTAAAATGCATGCAAACTTTGTGTGTCGCCGCCATCTTGGAAAAAATGACCTTCGAAGGCATAGAATAAGTTCGAAGGTCAACGAATTTTGTGACGTCATTAGATGGGTAGCACCAAAACTACAAGTGAGAATGGGCTATTCCATTTAATATCCGTACCCCCCCTGTCGAGGATCCCTGGAATTCTTCAGGGGTAAAGGGTTTTGAGCTTGGAATTCTTCAGGGGTAAAGTGTTTTGAGCTTGGAATTCTTCAGGGGTAAAGTGTTTTGAGCTTGGAATTCTTCAGGGGTAAAGGGTTTTGAGCTTGGAATTCTTCATGGGTAAAGAGTTTTGAGCTTGGAATTCTTCAGGGGTAAGGAGGTTTGATTTGAAATTTTTCAGAGCTTGGAATTCTTCAGGGGTAAAGGGTTTTCAGCTTGGAATTCTTCAGGGGTAAAAGGTTTCGAGCTTGGAATTTTTCAGGGGTAAAGGGTTTTGAGCTTGGAATTCTTCAGGGGTAAAAGGTTTTGAGCTTGGAATTCTTCAGGGGTAAAAGGTTTTGAGCTTGGAATTTTGGAATTCTTCAGGGGTAAAAGGTTTTGAGCTTGGAATTCTTCAGGGGTAAAGGGTTTTGAGCTTGGAATTTTGGAATTCTTCAGGGGTAAAAGGTTTTGAGCTTGGAATTCTTCAGGGGTATAACCATAAAAAACATGTATCCTCGACAGGGGGTGTACGGATATTAAATGGAATAGCCCAATTCTATTGCGTGCGTGTCGTGTTAGCCAAAAATATGTCGTTTTGAGCGTTATACTGGCCAATACGTTTCGCAATCAAACAAGAGAAGCCTACACTATCAGATAAAAACATATCGAGCGACTGGGAAAGCAAGGAATGGCGCAATTTACAATACAGGTAATTGATCATAAAATATTGCATTAGTGTTTGCCTTGTTTACACTCGAATTACTGCGTTTATTTAACACGGACTAGGACTGATATACTATCAGAAATAGTGTTACAAATAAGGAACATACTTGGTAAAACGTTTCTGCCCTTCGTTTAGGCTCAAAGTGCACTACGCGTGGTAATGCGCCGATCAAAACGAAGGTGTAACATCCCCCCCCCCCCGGGCACGAGAGGGGCATTTACCTTTCGTGATTTTCCCTAGGGGCGGGCATTTGTTGTCGGGAAGATTTAAAGTGGTGGGGCATTTGATTCCACTTATAATGAGGACGGGAATTTGACCGATTTTAACAACTAAAAAAACTTTTAGATCACCTAACATGAAGCATAGATAGTCTTGCTTTCCGCTGACACAAGAAACCGCAGGCATTTACGCATCAATCAAAAGCACATTTTTTGCTTTTGTGTTTTCGCTTTTCGGAGTATTCGGACTTTTCGAGTTTTTGAGAAAATGGCGACATTAATAAGTGAGTTTCGTGGCCAAAATATAAGTTATGTTGAAAATTGGTTGTCCCAGAATGGACTAGAGAAGTTAAAGGGAA